GGGGGGGGGCGGGCTCACTTGCGGCGACCGGGACGGCCGGCCTCGCGGGCCGGGGACACCTCGCGCCCCTCGCGGGCCTCCTGGCTCAGGGAGTGGGACACATCCTCCACGGCGTCCTCCAGGGCCTCGGCGACGACGGTGGTCTTGACGTGGCTGGCCTGGCGGGCCTGGCGAGCGGCGGCCACCGTCCGATCAGCCAGGCGGACCTGCTCGGCGGCGGCGGCGGCGGCGGCGGCGGCGGTGGCGCGCTCATTGGCCGGGCCCAGGCGCGCAGCCGCCAGGACCTCCTCGGCATGGATGGCCCGCTCGCGGGCCTCGGCCGCCAGGCGCTCGGCCTGGCGCAGGGCATCCCGATTGACCGACTGCCCGGGACGGAAGGCCTGGGCCCGGCCGCTGACACGCTCGCCATCGGGCTGCTCCTGGTTGAGGGACTGCAGCAGGTTGTCCAGATTGCTGGGGCCCTGGGCGGCCGAGGTGATGGCGGCCGCCGTGTCCTGGAGCTCCCTCATCAGCTGGGCGTCATCATCGTCGATGAGGTCGGAGTCGTAGGTGGCCGAGCCGGTGGCATGGCCGGCAAAGTAGAGCCCGGTCTCGCGAGCCAGCGGGGCATACACAAAGTGCCCGGGCATGATCATGGCGTCCGGCAGGGTGGGCGGGGTGTTGGACCGGCGCCGGCGGCCGCGGACATTGTCCGCCGGCATGGCCCCGGCCCCGGTGCCGGTCAGGGCCTCATACAGGTTGCGGTACTCGGTGAAGAAGCGCCCATCGGTCCGGTCGATGGGCCGGGGGGAGGCCATCGGGCCGCGAGGATCATTCGGGTCCTCGCCGAAGTCCATCTCCTCGTCGATGATGTCCATGATTTCGTCGGTATTCAGCTCGGAGAAGGACTGCACCGGGATGCCCACCCGGGCCATGGGCGAGTGGCCGTACATCTGGGCCACCTGCTCGGGGATGGTGTCCAGCAGGATGCACAGGTCGAAGTCATCCGGCCGGGGGAGGAGCTCCCGCAGCAGGGGATTCCGCAGGGCCAGGTTGTCCAGGGCGTGGGTGCCCTCCTGGACGAAGGCCTGGTAGGCGGCCATGGCCTCCTGGTCGCCGGTCTCCTCCAGACGCCGGGCCAGGTTCAGGTAGTCCATGATGTCGCCGGAGTAGCCGCGCCGGAGCCAGGCCACGCGGGGGACCAGCTCGCGCTGGTTGCGCGTGGCCGGCGGCCAGGGGGGCAGGTCCTTGGCGAACTCCATGACAAGGCGGTGCCGGGCCGGGAGGATGGCCGCCCGGGCGTCGCGCGCCGCCTGGGCCAGGCGCGTGTCGGCCTCGGCATTGCGCTGCATCTCCAGGATCTGCTGCCGGGCGGCGTTTTCCGCCGCGTCCGGGCCCAGGTGCCGGCTGAAGGGGTGGTTGGCGAAGGGGTCGGCGGCCAGGGCGGCGGTCTTGGCCGCGGTGGCGGCCTCCGCCTCCGGGGCCGTCAGCCCGACGAAGCGCTCCGCGTCGCGGGGCTTCCACCCCTCGCGCTGGAGGTAGTACGGGAAGGAGGCCAGCCGGATGGCCGGCACGACCAGGTAGTGGGGAATGGCAATGCCAAAGCCCAGGCGCGCGGCCTGGTACAGGCTGGGCAGGTGAATCTGCGACATGGCTGTCGGGGTGCGGTCAAGGGGTGCCCCGTGCGGTGCGTGCGTGCGTGTGTGTGTGTGTGTGGG